TGTGGTCTGTTTCTTTTCAGCTATAAAATTGCTTAGGTTTTAGTAGTGACTGCATTTTATTAATTAGAACCCTTTAAATTTATTTTTAAATTGAGGGGAGAGTCATACAGCACACAACTGAGCGTACAATTCAGTGGCATTTAGTAATTCACAATGTTGTACAGCCCTCACCTCTAGTAATCTGAAACTTGTAATTATTAATCTGTCAGTGAAACTGTAAAGGAGAGGCTCGTCCAGGACCATCTTGTACGGAGACTGGTTCCGAGTTGGGGCAGCGGAGACAGGTGGATCTCGGTGGATCCGGGAGAGCCTGGCCCAGGGGCTGTAGATCCAGAGAGGAAGGCTGGCCCTGCCCCCATGTGTGCCCCCAGGACACACACACCCTTTCCACTGTGTTTGTTTGAACAGTCAGCCCTCAGCAGAGGTCAGGGTCACCTCCGCTCTCAGGCCCTCAAGCCCATCTGGGGTTCCACTCAGGGAGCAGAACACCAGGTCCTGTCTCTCCCTTCCTTCTCCAGCCTTTCTCCTGCTCTCCGAGCTCGAAGAGTTTTTAAAAAATATCTTTGTCAGCAAATATTTTTAGGCTAGAATCTTGCTTTGTTAAGCTCTGCAACCAATAATTTCTTTTTTCTGATTTCTGTTCTAACGATCTTCTGTTGAAGGAATGAACATCTAGTATCTAGTTTGAATGGGCAGGGGTGGTAGGGTAGTCAGTGGGGGAAAGAATTTTAGAAACTGAAAGGGAAAATAGATAATTCAGCAATAGTGCAGATTTTTAATACTCCATTTGATAACAGGACACTGTCACTTGGCTGAACCTGTTTATAGAACATTCCACCATCATTTTCAGGTGCTCATGGAACATTCTCCCAGGATAGATGATATCACAGACCACAAGACAAATCACAATAAGTTTTAAAAGACGGAGAACATACTTTGCATAATTTCAAACTCCAGTGGAATTAGATATCTACAACAGAAGTCTGGAAAGCCCCCCATGTTTGGAAGTTAAATAACACATCTAAATAGTGTGTGGGTGAAAATGAAAACACAGTATATCAAAATGTGTGGGATACAGCTAAAGCAGTGGTACAGAAAGATGTACCGTTTTTTAACACCTATATAAGAAAAGGCCTCAATTAAAAAAATCTCAGCTTCTACCTTAAAACACTAAAGAAGAGCAGACAAACCCCAAGGGAAGCAGAAAGAAAGAATGATTAACAAGGAAATCAGTGAAACAGAAAAACCACTGATCAACAAAGTAACACACCAATTAACAAAATCATGAATGAAAGAGGGGACATCACTACTAATTCTACAGAAATGAACAGGCCTTATAAGGGAATACCAGGGAGACTGTACCAACAAACTAGATGAAACGGACAAATCCCTAGAAAGACACAAATCACTGAAACTGATTTAACTAAAGTCAAGTCTTTATACAAAGGAAAGCTCAGGTCCATGTGGCTTCACCAGTTACATGCTATCAGTAACACCAGTCACTCACAAACTCTCAGAAAATCCAACTCATTTTGAGAGGCTAGTGTTATCCTGATACCAAAGTAAAAGACATCACACACACACACACACACACACACACACACACACACGCACACACGCCAGAGATCATGTGTCTCACATGAACATGGTTGTAAAATCCTTAAAATATTAGCAACTGAAATACAGCAACATACACCATGGCCAAGCAGGATTTATCACAGGAATGCAAGGTTGGTTAAACATCTAAAAACCAGTTAACATAATAAACCATTTTCACAGAATAAAGGGCAGAATTCATAAGATCATCTCAATAGATGCAGGAAAATATCTGGCAAAAATCCCACAACCACTTGTGATTAAAAAATGTCAACAAACTAGGAATAGATGAGAACCTTTTCAACCTGATAAAGGACATCTGTTAATTTCCAAATGCTGCTGTATCAGATCATTACATACGTAGTTGTTCAAAACATCACAAGTGTATCATCTGACAGTTCTGGAGATCAGAGGTCTGATACGATTCTCATGGGACTAAAAGCGTCGGCAGAGCTGTTCCTTCTGGAGGCTGCCGGGGACTTTCCTTGCCCTTTCCTACTGCTAGAGACGCCTGCATTCCTTGGCTCCTGACCACCTCCCTTCACTTCGAAAGTCAGCAACTGTGGGTTGAGTCCTCTCATTGTCTCACACCGACCTCTTCTGATCCCCTCTTCTTCCACTTTTAAGGACCCTTGTAACTACATTGGGGCCTCCTGGAAAATCCATGTTTATCTTACGGTCAGCTGATTAGCAACCTCATTTTCCCTTTGCCATGTAACCAGACACATTCACAATTCCAGGGATAAGGACATGGACATCTGTGTTTGGGACAGCATCTGTGAAGACCACAAGCTAGGCTCCTAATTCATGGTGAATGATTGAATTCTTCCCTGTAAAATCAGGAACAAGGGGACTCACTCTTGCCACTTCTCAACATTGTACTAGACCTGCAGTTAAGGCACACACAGAAGGCAGCGTGCACACTGGGAAGGAGGATTGTAAAAGTGTCCTTCACAGATGGGACCCTGTATGGAGCTGATCTTAAGGAGTCCAGATACACAAACATACCTGAAACTAGTAAGTTTAGCAAGGTCCTGGGATGCAATATAACAGAAACCTGCTGTGTTTATACATACTAATGACAATCTGAAAATGAAATTAAGAAAATTCCATTCACAATAGCATCAAAATAAAATACTTAGAAATTACTTTATCAAAAGTAGTACCAGATTTATACACTGTAAACTACAAAAAAAAAAAGCTAAGAGAAAGAAGATCCAAGTAAATGGCTAGATATTCTATATTCCTTGATTAGAAGATCTTTGTGATCTTGGGTTGGGTAGAATTCTTAGACACCACATCAAAATCATAAGCCATGGAAGAAAAAACTGATCAATTGGACTTAATTAAAATAAACTTTTGTACTTCAAAAGCCAACATTTAAAAAAATGGAGACAAGCCACAAATGGAAAAATATCTGCAAATGTTATCTCTGATAGTCCATAGCTTATAGTCTTGTATCTATGATATCTAGTCTTGTAACTCAGTAGGAACACAGCTCAATTTAAAAAATGGGCAAAAGTCTTAGACATTACACTGTAGATATAAAAATGCCAATAAACACATGAAAAGGTGCCCAGCATCAATTGTCAGAGAAACAGAACAGCTCAGAACAACAAAACAAAACTGACCATACCAAATACTGATGGAATGTGGAACTGGAATTCTCATACTTTGTAAAGTGAAACAATCATTTTGGAAAACAGGGTTTTAAAAAATTTAGACATAAATACTATGTCAGCCAGCAGTTCCACTCCTGAGAGCCCACCCAAGAGGAGTGAAACCTGTATCCACACAAAAACTCATACACAAATGTTCAAGGCAACATTATTCACAATAACCCCAAAACAGAAACAAGCCAGATGTCAACAAATGTGGCAAATGCATAAAAAAATGCATAAAAAAGTATTGATCAGCCATAACAATAATGCAGCACTGACACACCATCATGTGCATGAACCCTGAAAACACGTTCAGTGCAAAAGGAGACAGAAGACCATATACTGTTCGAGAATGTTCTAAAGCTGGACTATGGGTGTGGCTGCACTATACAAATTTAATAAGAATCACTGAGTTGTATACTGGTAATGGTTGGCTTTTATGGTGTGGGAATCACATTTCAATAAAGGTGTTTTAGAAAAAGAACTGTGTTCCCAGCCACATGTTGCAAGTCAATCAAAAAGCACAAACCATTCCAGACTCCAGTTTTTGGCTGTAAACAGAAAAGGCCATTTTTGTTAGTAGTTATTCACTGGATGGTGTTAATTTGATTCAAACTAAGTTCTAATTCAGACAATAAAAGTTAAGCAAGTATTTACACCCTCTTTGAGATACTAAAGTACTGTTAACACTCAGAGGAAAGACAACTTGGGGTATATTTGTACCCACATGGTTGGTCTACTTTTGTGGCTAGTTTACTCTTCTTGGTCCAGGCTGGGTGACAGCAGACATGTAATGCAGTATACTAGGAAACAAGACTGCTGGCTAATGTTCAGCTAGGAACAAATTAATGCAAGGTTATTTTAAAGTTACAGTGAACTTCATCGTAGCCTTCTAAACGACCTGTCTTGAATCTAGACTTTCCTCATTTTATGTGGTGTCACGTTACTATTACTTGGAGACAGAATTTCTCTGATAGTGGCATTAGAGTATGATGGGCTGGAACCTGGGTCTAGGTTTTAGGGGGTCCTCGTGGTGTTGGAGGATTGACAGCAACTCACAAGCAGCTAGTAAGAAAGAAAACTGTCAATTTTGTTGAATCGGTCCTTAACCACCATCTGTTTCCTGGTTTCCAAAGCAAAAGGCTGGGACTGTCTCATCTATGGATGCTCATAATTTGTGTCTTACTTTCTCCTTTGAGGCTGTCTTTATTTATTGGAACACTATAGTATAAGAGGGGTAGTTGGTGTTAATGATGCAGTGTAATTGCTCTGGGCTTATGACTATGTTTATGTAAGACTGTTGCTTTTAGTATATGATGTTGAACATCTCGGGACTACCCTTATGGTAATTCTAGTCAGTCAGTCACTAGTAACCAGTGCGTCACTTAGTTTTGGGCTTACCTTTACAAGGTTAGGAAAATTTGTTTCATCCAGAAGTATTTTAAGGAGTAAGAGAGATGGTCATTGGAAGAGATTATATAAAGTCTGTCCAGTGGACAACTTTAGTACTAACTACATAGTTTAAAGCTTTTGCAGTTGCTATGCTTATATGAACAGATTTATTTTAAAAGTAACTATATTTTTTTCATTCTCCTTGAAGGGCATTGGTTTTTTTTCCTTTTGAAATGTAGTTCCCTCTGCTCCCCTAAACTCGTGCTCAAACTTAAAAACTGATTGATGGATATATTTTTGACTTTTTAATTAAAACATTAATTTGTGAATGAAAACAAAAGAACTGTTGGGTAAAGGCACCACAGATAATACTTTACTACAGTGTCCCAATATACTTCTAGAAAAAAACTTCAGCCTAGACAAACCAAATGAAATTAAGGAGGAAAAAAGACAACACTTGTAATAGTATTAAAAGAAACAACCATCTATAAGGAAAAAAAATCTAAAAAAATCTATGCAAGATCTTAATGTGGAAATCTACAAGACCACTGAAGGGAACTGAGGACCCAGATAAAGGGCGGGCTCAGGCCACGTGCACAGACTGGGAAACTCCAACTGCAGCACACATCACAACTGGACAGGCTTTTGTTTGATTTTGGACACCTGACAAGCTGCTCCCACAGTGTACAAGGAACCGCGCAGGGCCACTAATAGCCGAGATGCTCTTGGAGCGGGAGGAGGGGGGAGGATGTGCTCTCCCTCTGGTTCAGGGGGAGCCCAGAAAGGGCTTATGCAGGCCCTGACTTAATGGCAAAGATGGCGCCAGAGAGCCAGGAGGAGAGGAAAGGCCCTGCACTAAACGTGGGGAGGAGACCGTCACCAACAGAACGCAAGGACCACCACCTCACTCTTAGAAAGTGAGTTAGAGACAGCGTGGCCCACGGATGTCACAGAGAAGGGTAGGGCGGTTACATGTTCACGAGGTGTTTTGAAGAGAATACATTCAAGTCCATGTGCCAAACAGGACTAGAAACAATGAACAGCTGGATACTTCAGACTACATTAAAAAAACTTTTTGGAGTCTTTCCACATGACAAGCATCTTGTGAGACCACATTAAAATCAAGAACTCTCATCAGAATGATGACGAGACTGGAGAAGCAAACCACGGTGCAGTAGAAAACATGGGCCACACATACCTGACCAAGGAGCTTGCGTCCGGACAGTTTTCAAACAAAATCAGCAGGAGACTTAACTGTACTTAACAAACAGGACAATCCACTGGCTAATGAGCTGCCATCATTGGTGATGGAGGCAACATGGAACGATGAAAGCCACCGTCCACCCGCCTTAGTGGCTGAGAGCAGACAGGGTAAGGGTGGTGTCAAGGGCACTCCCGTTAGCCCCAGGAGGGTGTGACCCCCAACTGCCCAGGAAGGGTTGGCCTCCTGCCAGCACAACATACCCTGGTCCCAGCGATTCCACTCAGGGCCCACAGAAATGCATGCATGCAGGCCCCAGGGGGTTGCAGCGGCACTGCTGGCAACGACCAGGACATCCCTCAAGCCACAGGCGGGTCAGGCGCCCACAGCGTGAAGGAGGATGAAGGGAGGACTGTGTCTATGACAGCACAGGAGTAGCCAGGCCCAGGGCTTCTGTATGGCATCACTGCTGCAAAGATCGGAAACTGGCAAGGAAACCAGACTTCTCGGGGGGGATCTCGGGTGGAGAGACACGAGGGCGGTAATGAGCCTGTAAGTCAGCACAGGTCGCTTCAGGGAGCAGGGACCAGAGTCGGCCCCGGGGCGGCCAGGACAGCAGTCTTTTCAAACTCAGTGGGCTGAACACTCATGTTACTGCAGGACTCAAGAAACATTTAAAAGTACCTAATCCGGCTGCCAAAAACCTGATAAGGGTTCCCTGCCCCATAAGCTCAACTGGGGGTTTACAGGACCTTTCCCACCCTGACCCTCTGAGGCCCTCTGAACTTGAAAAGATGGAAACACTGACTCTCCTTCCCAGGCCACGTGCACCAGCCCCACCATCCAGGAGCTCCTGCTGAGTCTGCGCTTTGTCCTGTGTAAACGTATGTTTACCGTGTAAATTTCTGGGTGTGGACTTTCTCCCTGCAGATCTATAATTTCTCAGAAGAGAAGCTGAGAACGACCTGGAAAAAAAATCAAAGCTCAGACCCACTGCCCTAGGCAGAGCAGAGCAAATGGTGGGAAGGCAGCCAGAGAAAGGGTCCTCAGTAATGAGGGAAAGTGTGGCTGGAGGCCCAGCCCCGGGATGTGTGGTTTGAGCAGGGAGAGCAGAGACTGGGTTCCCAGGTGGAGAGGGGAGGACGGTGCTCCAGCTCCAGCAGACACCCCATTCCCCCATCTAACCCGTGGTGGCTTTAGGCCCAGCTGCAGCCTGTGCAGCGCAGCATGGCCGTGTCCCCACAGGAGCCCTGGAGGACAGCCTGGGCCCCACTACTGGTGGAGACTGGTCTCACGGCCACAAGACCTGGCCCCCGAGGCTAGGCCATCCCCCACTCTCTCCCTGGGAGGACGGTGCCGGGGAAAGCAAACACAAAGTGGCCGGGGCCCTGCCAGGCATTCCTAGAAGAGACTGGGGGGAGGGGCAGGGGCCAGACACCAGCTGACCCCGAGGTCAGGGGAGAAGCCAAGGCTGGGCCAGGCCCCCAGGGGCTTCAACAAGAAAGAATCCCACCCAGGCAGTTAGGAACTGGGGAGAAGGGTGGGAGTGGTCAGCATGCCAGGGCAGAGTATTGCTCCAGCTTAACTCCCACAAGGCCATCTGCTGGGCGGGGAGACCCCAGGAGCTGCCCAAGGGGCCCCCACCCACGAGCAGAGGGCTGGCTGCACACCAGCCCCTCACAGGCTACTCCAAAGGAGACCCCCGCCCTCCACTGCCTGCGGGCCCCAGCTCTGCTCCGCCCAGCCCTGCAGGGGGATGGGAAGATGGAGGGATGGGAAGATGGGGGGATGGGAAGATGGGGGGAATGGGAAGATGGGGGATTGGCCCTTGTTGGCCCTCAGGTCTGCATACAGCCCACCTTGTACCCTGAAGGTGCTTCAGGGCAGATGCAGCCCCCAGCCTGTCCCCTATGCCATCTTCACCCTGGGGGCTCAGTGCCGATGCTGGCAGCCCGGCAGGAGAGGGTTAACGAAGCTGGGGCCAGCAGGGCTGGGCTGGCCGGTGACAAGGGTGCTGGCTGCCCCAGCAGCGGGTGGGGAAATCCAGAGGGCAGGAGCAGCTGGCCCCAGCAGACGCCCCCCCTGCTCGCTGCCTGCAGCCTGCTCTGCACGCGGGATGGCCCCAAGGAAAGGTGAGGCCCCCGTGTGCCCAAGCCACTCGCTCCAGGGGTGGCTGGCCCTGTGTCCCTGAGCCCATTGAGGCAGGGGTTGCCCGCAGGGAAGGCTCAACTTGGGGTGGGCCAGGGGCTCTGGGAGCCCATGAAGGAGTGTGGCAACTCAGGGTGGTGGGGGCCTAGGTGTGCCCCGGAGAACTGCTGTTGCCTCCTCTCCTCCCACCAAGCCTATAGTGCAGGGGAGGACAGGCTCCCCACACTACCACCCAGGGGCCTTGCCCGGACCCTCCACTAAGCCAGGGTCCTCTCAGCCAGACAGAGGCCAGGCCACAGCCACCCTGTCCCTCATCGGAGCCAAGCCCCATCCAGCTGGCTGTGGGGCACCAACCCCGGGACCCGGAGCTCTCAGAAGGCAGGGCAGGGCCTGATGCTGTGGGCAGCCTGGCACCCAGGGAAAGTCTAGGCAGCTATGGCTGGGGAGCCTGCCATCTTTTGTCCTGAGGCACAACCTGACCTCTGGTGAGTCCACGGTCTAGGGACCCTGTTTGCTCCTGAGGCCTATCCCACAGGGGCCAAGTCCTTGGGTGAGTGCCACGCACACCAGGGAGCAGGTGAGCGCCCCCCAGGTCTGGGGGTCTAGCTGGGGCAGCAGGCATCTAGCTCAACTGTCCAAACCCTCAGGGCAGCAAGTGCGTACCCACCCAGGCCTGCTCCAGAATGTTCCCTCGCTCACACCTTCCCCCAGGCCTGCCTAGCAGCCTAGCCTGGCTTGAGTGTCCACCTTGGGGATGCAGACGGACACACGGCCTAATCGCTAGGTGCCAGCTCTCAGTTTTCCCTGGAACAAGCATCACTACCCAACTGCTCCCGTGGGGTGGAAAGGGCAGTTAGTTTTGAACCGGAAGATGCCCCAGTTGTCCTGCTTGGCTGCCGTTTTTCACTTAAGGGAGGGTGACACCTCATATCTCAGCTCATACTTCCACCAGTCCAGTTAGCTATGCCTTCTTTCAACCGTTGCATGCTGCAGTCTAGGTGTGAGGCCTGGAAGGTTCAGTGTCTTACTCACCCAGGGTTCATGTCCCGGGCCCCCTCAGTGCCGTCTCCCCAAGCCCCCTCTCCCCGCAGGAGGCCTGGCCCTGGCGGTGCTGCTGGTCTCCTGGGCAGCGCTGGGCCCCCGCAGCCTGGAGGGAGTGGAACCTGGGGTGCCAGCAGACACTGAGGGCCTGCAGTGCCCGGCAGTCTGCGTCTGCGGCCACGACGACTACACAGACGAGCTCAGCGTCTTCTGCAGCTCCCGGAACCTCACCCGGCTGCCCGACGGCATCCCAGAGGGTGCCAAGGCCCTGTGGCTGGATGGCAACAACTTTTCTTCCGTCCCCACGGCGGCCTTCCGGAACCTCTCCAGCCTGGGCTTCCTCAACCTGCAGGGCAGCCAGCTGGCCAGCCTGGAGCCACAGGCGCTCCTGGGCCTGCCGAACCTGTACCACCTGCACCTGGAGCGGAACCAGCTGCGCAGCCTGGCAGCCCGCACCTTCCTGCACACACCGGGCCTCGCCTCACTCGGCCTCAACAACAACCTGCTAAGCCGGGTGGACGAGGGCCTCTTCCAGGGTCTGGCCCACCTCTGGGACCTCAACCTGGGCTGGAACAGCCTGGCCGTGCTGCCTGACACCGCGTTCCAGAGCCTGGCCAACCTGCGGGAGCTGGTGCTGGCGGGCAACAAGCTGGCCTACCTGCAGCCCGCGCTCTTCTGCGGCCTCAGCGAGCTCCGGGAGCTGGACCTGAGCAGGAACGCCCTGCGGAGCGTCAAGGCCAACGTCTTCGTCAAGCTGCCCAAACTCCAGAAGCTCTACCTGGACCACAACCTCATCGCGGCCGTGGCCCCGGGCGCCTTCCTGGGCCTGAAGGCGCTGCGCTGGCTGGACCTGTCGCACAACCGCGTGGGCAGCCTCCTGGAGGACACCTTCCCGGGCCTGCTGGGCCTGCACGTCCTGCGCCTCTCCCACAATGCCCTCGCGGGCTTGCGGCCCCGAACCTTCAAGGACCTGCACTTCCTGGAGGAGCTGCAGCTGGGCTACAACCGCATCCGGCAGTTGCCCGAGAAGGTGTTCGAGGGCCTGGCCCAGCTGGAGGTGCTCGGGCTCAACAACAACCAAATCCAAGAGATTAAGGTGGGCGCCTTCCTGGGCCTCTTCAATGTGGCTGTCATGAACCTCTCTCGCAACTGCCTGCGGAACCTTCCAGAGCAGGTGTTCCAGGGCCTGAGCAAGCTGCACAGCCTGCACCTGGAGGGCAGCTGCCTGGGCCGAGTCGGCCTGCACACCTTCACCGGCCTCTCAGGGCTGCGCCGGCTCTTCCTCAAGGACAACAGCATCACGGCCATTGACGAGCAGAGCCTGGTGGGGCTAGCCGAGCTCCTCGAGCTGGACCTCACCTCCAACCAGCTCACACACCTGCCCGCCCGGCTCTTCCAGGGCCTCAGCAAGCTGGAGTACCTCCTCCTCTCCCGGAACCGGCTGTCGGTGCTCTCGGCGGACGTCCTGGGGCCCCTGCAGCGCACCTTCTGGCTGGACGTCTCCCACAACCGCCTGGAGGTGCTGCCTGAGGGCGTGCTCTCCCCGCTGGGGCGGCTGCGCTACCTCAGCCTCCGGAACAACTCGCTGCGGACCTTTGTGCCCGAGCCACCTGGCCTGGAGCGCCTGTGGCTTGAGGGCAACCCCTGGGACTGCAGCTGCCCCCTCAAGGCCCTGAGGGCCTTGGCCCTGCAGCACCCCAGCATCGTGCCCCGCTTCGTCCGGGCCATGGTGGAGGGGGACGATGACCGCCAGCCGCCTGCCTACACCTACAACAACATCACCTGTGCCAGCCCCACCAGCGTCTCGGGCCTCGACCTGCGTGACATCAGCGAAGACCACTTTGCTCGCTGCTGACCTGAGGCTGCCCAGGCCGGACACCACCCCGTTCACCTGCCGGGGTCCCAACCCCAGGGGACAGTCTTGGGGATTTGCCAGCACAGGCTCTGGACCTGTGGCCACCAGCCTGGTCCTGGAGGGCCTGACCAGGAGGGTCAGGGACACGGCCACCACAAAGGCCCATAGCCCTCCCCAGCTGTCAACAATTAAAAGCAGCCTAATAAACATGCCGTGTGACACAGGATGACGCTTGGGGAGGGGAGTGCTGGCCTAGGCATGCTGTGGCCTGCCCCTTGCTGTGTGGCTCAGCCCACACCACCTCTGGCTGCCCTTGTCCCACACAACCGTCCGCGTCCCTCCCTGTCCTGTGCCCAGATTCTCGTCATGTCCACTAACCCCCAGGCCCCGCCCCCTGTGGAGCGCGGGCCCGTCTTCAGAGGCGGCTTGGTCCTGGGAAGCTGCCGGGCTGGCCTGCGGCCAGAGCGGCGCCGACCCTCGCTCTCCAGATCCCTGTGTTCCTGGCCAAAGCCTTTGAGGGTGCTGCCCCCACTCCCCCCACCCCTGCAGGGAATGCCCATCCGGGGCATACTCCTGTCTTCCCTTCTGTCCCAAAAGTGGTACCTGAGGGTGATTTCTCCAGACCCCCTGTCCCCCGGGGCCATCCTGTATTCTCTGCTCAAAGCCCAATCTCCTCCCCTTGGAAAGAATAGCAAAGCCAACGTCCTTCCAAAGCCTTTCCCCCCGGGGCCTTCCTGGGAGGGTGCAGGACGAGCCCTGGGACTCTGCTCCAGACTCACCTTCCCTGCTCCTCAGGTCGGCACCCCAGGCCCCAACAGTGTGGACCGCGGGGCGGGCAGTTAACTCTCACGGGCCAAGTGTCACTACTCACATGTTTCTTCAACATCACAAGTTCCTCCCCAAACTCGATTCAAATGTATCCTCACCCGAGTCGCCAGGGGCCTGTCGACAACAGGGCTGTTGGCCCAGCTCTTGGGACTGAGGGAGTGGACGCTGTCTGCTCTAGGACACCATCACACTAAGTGGAGGAGGTGGGACCAGAGCAGAATGATCTAGAAAGGTCAAACCTGTAACCTCGGTGGGGGGACACGTTTATTTTGTGCTCTTCTGGGTTACAAGCTTGACACCTCACTGGGTGCTCCCTCCTATACCATGAGTACCAGCCTATGGGCTGCAGGGGCCCAGGGCACCTGAGGACGGTGGGGGCCTGGCAAGCTTCCAGACACACGAGCTTTGTGAACAACATGGGGACTTGGCTGTCAAGAGCAGCCTGTCTCCTGCCTGGGGCAATGAGTACCAGAACGCACCAAGAGTGATCATACACCATCAGGGCACTCAGGCCACGGCATCAGACCGCACACGATCCCCCGGGGCCTCGCCACAGGCTAACCAGGTAGAACCACTCACTATCGGTGGCTCTGACACCGAGATGCCGCTGAAGCACCGACAGGGCCTGCAGAGAGGAACACTTGGTGCTGCGCAGCCCAGCCTGCAGGTTCCAGGAACCTTGCCCAGTGCCTCTGCTCTAGTAGGTGAGCAGGAGCCCCACGGCCACAGAGGGGAGATGCTCAAGGCCACCTTGGTCAGGACAGTCAAATGGGTGTCTCATTTAGAATCTTCTCGGCTATGGAGGAGAGCGCGGGAAACGCAGGGCTGGAGGGGAACTCCTGGATGAAGTCCCGGCCTTCCTCCAGGCTCCTTGTGAGCTCGGGGTCCAGGGGCACAGAGCCTGCAAAGAGGAGGAAGGGGGCCGGGGAGGGGGAGGCGGTGAGAGCAAGGCCTGTCCCGGTCACGCACCTCCCACAGCCCAGGAGCCGGCTGTCAGCGCCACGGGGCTGCCTCCCTCCAGCCAGGCAGCAGCAACCCATCTGTTAGCGGTGAGGTGCCACACAGCAGGAGGGCAGAGGACACTCCTTCTCTCCTCTCCCCTGCAGCAGGGGGTGTGGGGAGGTGGGACCACCTGGAGCAGAGGCCAGGGGCAGCCCTGGCTCACTCACCCAGGAAGGGGACTCCGGCGTGTCTGGCCAGCTCCTCGCCACCTCCCCTGGAGAAGACGTTGGTGCATTCCTAGGACACAGAGGCGTGGGGTCCACCTCCAGGCCTCGTGCCACACTCAAGGGGAGGGGCTGGCCCCCACCCCGCCACTTCCCACAGCTCACCGCGCAGTGCGGGCAGACGAAACCGCTCATGTTCTCCACGATCCCAATCACCCGCAACCCCACCTTCCTACAGAAGGTCAGCTCCCGCCTCACATCCCCCACGGACACTGCCTGGAGACCAGGAAAGAGAAAAGACCTGCCGATGGGCACCCTGAAAACTCAGTCAAGATGAGCGGAAAGAGTAGGGAGAGTGCCTGCCCGGAGTGAGGTCGCACACGGGCGGGCAGACAGGATGGCGCTCCCGCAGTACCTGGGGTGTGGTGACCACGAGGGCCCCCAGGGGGCTGTAGGGGCGCAGGGCATCCACGGCGGCCATATGCTCATCAGAGGTCCCTGGGGGCGTGTCCACAACCAGGTAGTCCAGCTGCCCCCAGGCCACATCAGACACAAACTGCTTTATCAGTGCTGCGGAGACCCAGGGAGGGCCGGGGTAGAGGGAGAGCAGGCGAGGCAGGGGTCTCATGAGGGTGTCACTCACAGCGCGCTGCCTCCTCCCAGCCGGCATCACGGTGGCTGTGTGTGCCTTCCTCACCAGGACAGGCCGAGCACAGGCAGCAGGGAGACCATTCCCCACCCCCTCACCCCCACCGCCCCAAGACTTCTGCTCAGGCCTTAGCTGAGGACAGCCAGAGCTGTGACCCTCCTGGGGTGTCTGTGCCTGAGAGAGGCGGCCTGCAGTCAGCATGGCATGGAAGCAGCCCTGGCCCTGCACGTGCTCTCACACCTGGCAGCCTCTCTCCGCCCAACACAGGGAGTGTGATGCCATTTGCTGGGGTGGAGACACCAGAGCCCAACCTCTCGCCCTACGCTGGGTGACGTCAGGTCTTAGCGGATGCGCCTACAGCCTGAACGCATGTGGGCCGCCTGCTCAGTTGAGTGGCAGCAGAGTTTGGGAAGTGAAGCAGCTAGCATGGGAGTCTTCCCAACCTTACCCAAGGCTGGTGCTGCAGGGGAGGGCGGTGTGGAGGAGTGCCAGCCGCCCTGGGGTTCCTGCACAGCTTTCTAACTGAGCACTGAGGGGGCAGCTAGGAGAGGCCAGGAGGCTGGCAGTGCTGTCCCCCTTCCCCCGGGTTGTTACCGTTCTTCTTGGGGCCCCTCCACACCACAGCCTCATCTGGCTTCTCCAGCAGGAAGCCCACGGACATGAGAGAGATGCTCTGCGCCTGGTCCACGAAAACTGGGACCCAACCTCCGTCACACTGATGCACAGCCTGGCCCTGCACCTTGAGCATGTGGGGGATGCTGGGGCCGCACAGGTCCACGTCGAGGATTCCCACCTGCAAGGAGGCAGGACAGCCACTGGCATGTAGGGGCCTCCCTAGGACCAGCACCACCAGGCAGGAAGAACCCAGCCACTGCCCACGTGTCCACCCACGAGGGGCAGCTGGCGCGGGCGTTAGGGGAGAACAGATACCATGATTGGATAGGAGGCTCTCACCTTCTTGCCCGCATGGCGCAGGGCCAGGGCCAGCTCCGTGGAGATGGTGCTTTTCCCGACGCCCCCCTTTCCTGAGAGGACGAGGATGATGTGTCGGACGCCGGCCAGGTTTCCGGGCTCTGGTCAAAAGGACAACAGGGGAAGAGGGCAGGGCTTTGCCTTCGCCCTGGACACTCTCCACTGCTCACTCATGCGGGGTCACTGGGCACTTCCCTGAGACCTGCCCCTTCACCCTGACACAAGGCAGAAGGGCTTCCAAAAGGCCCCAGATCCAACCATCTTGTTCCTTAAAAGTGGCTGCTCCCACTCCATCTGGAGCAGGGCTGCTGGGGCAAGAAATGCCTCAAACCACGCCTCCCTCCAGTGTGCACACCTGGGACTGCACACCTGTGAGCCCACAGGCACACAGGCCAAAGATTGCCGGCTCCCAGCTGATTCCAAGGGAAGTGGGTGGAGACTAATGTAATAGGGTCGTCCTTGTAGCCAGGAGGTACAGCTGTGCCAAGGCAGCTTTCTGGTCTGACCTGCAGGCGCCCAGCCCCCTTCCCTGGGGTCAGAAGAGGAACTCAAGGCAGCCCCAGCCTCCAGTTCTCAGGAGGGATGTTACAGCTCTGGGATCAGAGCAGCCACAATCATGTGTGGGTGTGGATGTCAGGCCATCTTGATGGCTTGAGGTCGTGCCTTAAGAAACCCTGGGTACACAAGGGCAGGCCCTGGCCCAACCATTCTGTAGAGCCCTGTCAGCCACAGGCCACTCTGCCCCAGCTCCTCTTCCTTCCACTGAGCCTGAAATGCTACCCAATAAATACTTACCATCCCAATCCCTGCCACCCCACAGGGCTGCCGTCTGCACACAACCCTCAGCCCCTGCAAAACCCCCATGTTCTTGCTCCAGCGCCCTTAGGACCTCAGCATCCAGACTCCTGCCTGGCCTCCAAGCTGCTCGCTCCACTACCCTCACTGCATGCCCGGGTCCCCAGAAGGGGCTCAACAAAAGGTCAATAAATACTGCCTTCCTCCTGACTCATCTCTCATGGAGTAGGTTCAAAGGCCCGCACCACCAAAGCCCCCCGAGAAAGAACTCAGAGGGCTCCTGGCCTGGCTTTCCCAAAGGTCCTTGTCATAAATGCATTACAGTGCCTGTCCTGGGTCTCCTCCCAGTACTGGGGGCTGAGAGATCTTTTCAGGTAACAAAGAAAGGAGACCCTCGCCCAACTACCCAGATCACTGCCTGCAAATATAAGCCCTGGACACTGTGCCCTCAAGATCACCTCTGTGACAGTTTAAAAACCTATTACTTAAATTGCTTTAATATCAAAAAGCATTTGGGAATCAATTTCGCCCTTTTTCTTGGGGAGGTGGGGGCAGTGGCTGCTCTGGTGGGAACTCGGGAAAGAGCAGACCTGGGTCCTGATTTCTACTCGCCCTTTGTGCGGGTGCTGCACCACCAAGTTCCTAATACTGACGACTGGCTTTCTTCACTTGTGAGGCTGGGGAATTTTATCTGCCTGAGCATCAAACAGGACAATCCTGCTCCCTTCAGGCTGTGAACTTCTCAGACAACAATCCTTAGGAGCCAACCAGAAGAAACTTCACTCGTAAGTAAATGGAAAAAGTTTATGGACAGGTTATCAAAGATAACCTGGGTGCCCACTAGATGTGAAAGGCTGCACTGGAAGGAGCAAAGAAAAGCAGTATCTCCCCATGGAGGGAAGTGGGGGGCCCCCTCTATGGATAAAGAGCCTTAAGTCCAACCACATAATGATTATTTGATACAACAGATAAGTATGGAAATTTTTACTTGTAAAGAATCTTTATAGAAAGATACAGTTGCCTCTAGGAACAAGGAAGTTTACTGCATACCCCGTTAGGCTTTTTGGATTTCTATACTCATTTTCCCCCTAGTTAAAAAAAAAACAAAAACCTTCATCAATCAAACTAGAGATATTCCTCTCATCTTGTAGCAAGTCTGCCCTTATCCTAACAAGCTTTTTCAGGTTTTTTCTCCAGTTTTATGTTTATAATCTGATGGATGAGTCCAGCATTATGAGAGCTTTGTGCCCAAGATACCAGACCTGAGATCTTTTAGAAGGTAATGTGGCAAATTGCTACTAATAAAGGTCTGTCTGGCTACTCTTTGTAGGCCTGATTGAGCCCAACTTTATGTCTATATTCTGTCCCACAAGACTTTCACTTTTTAAAAATCAAGGCTTTTAAAGTTAGAATAATGTTTCTACAAAAAGCTAAGATTATGCGATATTTTGCTTTTCCTTCTTTTAACCCCCCTTTTCTACATTTTTGAGTTATAGCCATTTTACAATGTTGTGTCAAATTCTAGTGTAGAGCACAATTTTTCAGTTATACATGAACATATATATATTTATTATCACATTTTTTTTTTGCTGTGAGCTACCAGAACCCCTTATTCAAGACTTCTTTCTAAGCGCCATAATGACCAAACACATACAGGGGCACCTCTGCGACCTTTACGCTGTAAACAGACGGTGTGCTAAAACCAAGAGACCCGGCCAGCTGCTGCGTGCCAGCTCCTTCATTCTCCCCTTCACGCCTGCTAACGGGAAGACCCCGCAACCCAGCACACTCACCCGCGGCCGCCTCCATCCTGCCTGGGTAGCCACACGGCTTCCTTCCGCTTCCGCCCGCCTCCCGGCCTGAGTGAAGCGCCCTCAGACCAATGGGAAGTGCGAGCCCGCCCCTGACTCCTCCTGATAGGCCTGCTCTCGCTACCTTCAGCCAATCAGATCGCACTACAGGTGCACGCCAGTTCAGACGCAGGCGACGCGCAGGAAAGGGACTCACTTCCGTATCAACGCCCGAACGTGGGACCGCCTCTTTTCCTCGCCCCAAGCCCAATGGGCGCGCAGGCCTTGTCTGAGATAGTTTGAGATGTGACCAATGGGGACGTCAGACTAAGATTCACAGGTCCAAGAGCCTCTGAGCAAGAAGTATGTGCTGCGAGGCCCGCCCCCCACCCGAAGCTCCGAGCCGCGCGCGCTGCGGGGCCAATGCGGTGCGGGGGCGGGGATTGTTTACGTCTCGCTCGGGAGCAGAAAGTAGGTCACGGCCAGCCCCGGCGCAGCGCGGCGGCGGCAGGGCGGCTGCAGGTGAGCGGCGAGCT